TATGACATAAGTGTGTACACATACACACACATATACAGGGAGAGAGAGAATGGTTTGCCTGCCGACTTGTCATTAAGTACCGTAAACATCCTGCAAATTGTGAACAGGTATTTGGAAAACAGTCTGTCCGTGTTCCTGATTCATTGAATGCATCCTCTCGATCTCAACTCAGGAAATCCACAAAGCTGTCCAGGCCCTGCTGTCATTTTGTGGCCAGATATGGAAAGATATAAACCGCCTCCTTTCTTCCCTGTCAAAACAGTTGTGCCACGTCCTACCCACTTCCGAATTTTGACTGACTGCCTCACAGATGGTGTCTCTGTCTCCACCCCCCCACACTTTTAATCCATATATTCCTTTACCTCAAACTTGCAAATTTTGCTTTTTGTTCCTAAATATAATCTTTCCTCCAAACTCTTGTGATGTCATTTGCGGCCTGGAAAAGATCGTGATTATACTATAATGCCACTGTTTATGTTTTAAAAAGAAGGAAAGCTGTACATTTCATATTAAATTTGGCACCTTAAATAAAGGGCTGGTGCAAATCTCTGAGTGCTCATCTCCAAAAAAGGGATGGAAGACTGCGGAAGGAGAATCTGTTTCCCATTTCTACCATTTTAATAGCCTGACTTACGTTTTTTTTAACCTTGCCCATATCTTACTTTCATAATATTTCTGTTTTGTTTTTTAAATTGCTCCCATCATGATAGGGTTGATTTTAACTCTTGTTTTTCAATTTTAAATATGCAAAATTTTAGTTATTTTATGGATTAAAATAAGCACCATGGACCAGCCTGAGCATCTGATCACCACTGATAAGACCATTATCTTTCTCAAGTTCCACCTATGATAACTGGCTTACAAATAAACTTGTGGATTACAGCCTGTTTGACAACTGGAAAGAGCCACATTGATTAAAATCAAAAGATTTTCAGACTTCGATATTGGGACAGTGTGGATTATCTAGCATCTAAATAGAATGTAAGATTATGGAAATCCATTTCCTACTTCTAGACTCTGCAAGCAAATGATCATCTCCCCATAGTGTGATGTCTAAGTAGTTAATCCGGTATGTCAGACAACTCCATTTAGGAAACAATGACTACTTAGCCATAGAAAACAAATGGTATATGTATAATATATAATCCATATATGGTAAACATTTATATGCTGTGTAGACACATACTGTACTATGTATATACATATGCATAAGAGATACAGTAAACTCTATTTGTATTTCCACACTTAAATACATTGCACCTCTCCTACCATCGTGAAACTCTCTCTTCTTCATTCCTTACTATAAAGTAATACTAATACCTAATGAATAATAGCAATTTTTTTCCAGCAATCTTAAATAGAGGGTTTAATCAGTTTATCTGGATGCACAAAATTTGTTTCTAAAACTGAGCACAATCATACTTCACCACCCAGGATGTAGCCAGCCAGTGGATACAGTCATGCTTCTAGTCTTCTGCTACCGCAGACCAGTGGCTGCAGAAGGGGTGGGATTTTTTCTTTCCTCTTACGAACCAAGCCCTGGGTTTTATTGTTGTTGTTGTTTTAATATACAGCTAAGGAGTGTTTTGTAGCCACACATGACACACACACACACACACACACACACACACACACAGTCCCTAGCAAGGGCAGAGTGGGGCTGGTGGACTGGGTTCCTCTATGAGCCTCTCACCATCTGTTTCTCCCAGTGACAGCAGTTATGTTTGAAGAGCATAACTGCCTGGTATCTTATGCATTGATTCATGACTAGTAGCTCTAATATCTTATGAAAAAGATCCATTGTTATTGCTTTTAAAGAAAGAAAAGGATTGCAATTCACATTTACAGCTTCCACCTTGTTCTTGTATTGTTTAAAGAAAAAGATGGCAGAGGAAATGTTTGCATATGTAATAGGGATCAACTTTTATTTTTCAAATCATTCTGTTTTAAAGTGTCTGTAGACTTTGTAGTTGTTTATAGGTATGAGGCATTCATCAGTGTGAAATAGTTATTTCCTTTCCATATTTCCTCTTATCAAGAAAAAAATCCCTTCGGTCTCCTAGAAAAATACAATCCATTTTGCTAAATTATTTGTGAGTTTCTACAGAGTGTGTTTAATACCACCAGGGCACAGGTTTAGACTATTTGCAGGATTAGCAGGAGAGACGTGGCATGATTGGTCTTTGGGCCATTGCGGTGTGTTTGGTGTGCTAGCAAACATGAATTTATCTTATCCTTGTTTAGCTACTACACAGCAAGTGAGCTGTCCCGTATTGTTCCATTCATCTTCCTGAGTTCATTCAGAAGCCTGACACTTCCTTTGCCGGACAGATTAAAGGGGCAGCGTGGGACCTTTTGATGATTTGAAACCTGCTTTCTCTCAGTCTAAGCTCCTTAGGCTATGCTGACCACTCAGAGGTTGAACTACTATTTATTTGCCCTAAAATGAACCAGAAACTTGGTCTTAATTTCCTTCCTGACAAGTGTTTCAATTTACTAAAAGTATACAGATTTTGTAGTAAGTTGTTTTTCAATCTTTCATTTTTAGTGCTGATCCAGGAAAGAAAGGAGATACGGAAACATTTAAAAAAAAATAGCTCAAAAGAAAGTATGTAAAGCAGTAAAAAACCCAGAATTGTGCTGCTGCTTTGTGTGTGTGCTAATCAAATCAGTGGGTGTTAGGTTGCAATGGTGATCCTTTAGCTGTGCGGTTTATCTATGATTCCATTTTACAGTATATTATTTTCTTCCTCATGAGAAAATCAGTGTTTATTATCACAGGTGACAAAACACAGAGGCGAAAAACAAACAGAGAGGTTACATTTAATCACTTGAAGTGGGTTTCATCTTTGCATTTTTGTTTTCATTCCCAAGCCAGAAGCCTATAAACCGAATAAGAGGGCAAACTGCCTTTCGCTGCTGAGCTAGGCCAGGAGGGCAGGTGTGGAGCCGGCGAAAAGATAAACATTGAGTCACTCTTGGTGAGACGGTATTTAGCTAGAGAGCCAAAGACGGACTTTTGAAATACCATTGTGCTGCTACTGCTCAAATATTGACTAAGTGAGCCTGGAAAGGAAGAAATTTGGGCCACCTAACATAGAATTCCTTGTCTTTTTCTGTCTTTAAATGCTATCTCAAAGACCCAAGAGAAAGGGTAGTTTACCTAAGAAAGAAATATGAGCTTTGCTTATGGAGTTTCAGGTATACCTAATGTAGGCTTAATTAAGCAAATACAATTGACCAGCCTTGCATTTGGCAAAGCATTCTTTTCTGTTTCGTGGCTCTTTATTATAGGAGATGACTTGCCAGTCGGGCAGCTCAGAAGATTTGCAGCAATGAGTCTTTCATCCCTCACAGTGACTCTGTAACCACGGCTGATGTGGGAACGTTATTAAACGTCACCATTTACAAAGAAATAGGAAGTTCACGTTAAGCAAGTATTTAGGATATAGTTTGCCTTCCACGTATTCCAGCCTGCGTTGCTGCATACTTTCTAAGCTTAGCGTAGTTACTTACACAGCTATGAATTTTAGGAGGTGTTTAAAAGCACACCACAGTGACCTGGGAAAGGAGAGAAACTTACTGGAGCACTTAGCCAGGAGCTTAAAAAGACATTGCTGGTGAGTTTTAGATGACATGAATATACATTTGATAGGTCAGTTGGGTACATTTTTGTTGTTTTAATGACTCCTCTTGACACCGTTACAGTGGTGCTGGGAGCATTCATTCACGTTCATTCATTTAGGCTCACGGCTCACATAATAACTCAGCCATTTCCTCTCTGAAGGTAGTGGGGTAATGAGAAGCACAGAAGAGGATCCAAGATCCGTTCTGAGATTCAGATAAGGTGTCCTAACAAAAAGCTGATGGCAAAATGAGAGTGACAAAATAACTGTGCTTTTCTAGGGTAACGTGTTAAATAAGACTCACCAACTTTTAAAAGACTTTATGTGGTTTTAAATAATCACATCCCTTGCCATGTAAGCATGCTGATGTCGCGACATCAGCATGCCACTTAACAATTAATTTATGCATTTTGATTAAACTTCCTTTAGAATATATGGAGTCCATATAAAGAAAAGTCCAGGGTCATTTGGCTTTTCAGCGGTTTTGTATAAATAGCTCCCATGTTTACACGTGAAAAAAAATTATCTGTGAAAGGAAAAGCTTTCAATATCCTATTTTGGTTACGTCTCCATAAAAAGCCTAGGAAGCAGCGGGATCATCTGTGAAACAGTGGAATCACCCCAAGAACAAGAGCAAACTGTCAGACCGTCCTGCCGTGGCATGACTTGAACATAACCGCCCCACGTGGGGACGCATTCCACATGGGTGGCTCGAACTGCCGAGGCTGCAGTGCTGAATACTTTCCGGACGCTTGGGAAAACTGCCCCTGTTTACAGATGGCAAGCCCTTAGCCACAGAGCCCTGAGAATCTGAGCAACATAAAGTCTGCTTTATTTAATTTCCTCTCGTTTACCAAGAGTCACAACCTACTTTAGTAAATAAATTCAGGAAATTGGTAAAGCACTTTACTCTATCCGTTCTGTCCCGGTCATCAGCAGGGTTGTCACGGTCTTCCTGGCTCGCAGGCTGCTGTGGCTCACAGCCTTCCCTCACTCGCCTGCAATCAGCTGAGCGCCTCCCTGGTGATGGGTCTTACCGAGCTTCAGCGATGTAAACAAACAGAATGGCACACAAGTTGTGCAGGAGTGTATTTCCTCTACTTTGTTAATAAAGATCTGCAACTTTAAGGATTTTCTGTATTGACCCTGGCGTTCTTTCCAAATAATTATTTTCACCCCGGGACTACCCACACACCCTGGGATAGAATAAAAGAAAAATGATCTTTCATCCTAGGGTACCCGCAACCTGCTCTCCAGCTCTAATCCTCTTAATCCCCCCCCCCTTTTTTTTTTTGGTTGTTAAAACCAGAGCTGCTGCCAAGCTGATCTTAATAGCATGGATTGTTCGCAAAGACAGATGGACGGTTTCCCTACCTTCATTAGCCACTGAGTGTTGTTTTCCATGATGTTCTCCAGCAGCTGCAGCCTCTGCACCGAGTCATCGTACTCCAGCGGCGCGTCCCTCTGCACAGCATTGGACACGTAGGGGCTGGAGGGAGAACGGCAGTTGTCCATCTCGGGCAGGAGGAACGTGTAGCTGCAGGACCCGTGCTGAACCTGATACTGCTTCTTTCCTATGCTGTCCATGCTCTTCCGAAAGTTGTTATAGGCTGCGGCCAAGACAAGATCACAGCTCAGAGTAAAGAAAACAATCTGCCACATTCTTTCTTCAGGAATAAATCAGCAGCTCAGCAAACTTGAAGGCACACACACGTCCAGAGTCCCGAGCTGCTGCCGTCGGAAACGCAGGGCTACTGTGCTGCCATGGCTGGGTCCGTCAATGAAAGTCTTCTCTTGCCTCTTTTTCCAGTAGCAAACTTGGTTTTAAGTGCTGTGTTCTCTCCAGGCATGCAGTAAACTGTCAGATTGCAGTGGGAAGAACGGTCCTGCTCGCTTGGGAGGGCTGTGCCAGCTTCTACAGAGCAGCTTTCACCGTCCTTTGTTTCTCTCTCCCCAGATCCTACAGTGTCAGTATCCGAATCAATCACTTTCCTTTCCTTATATGATAAGTTGATAAGAGCAGCCAGACATGTGTAGTGGGCTGCTCCGCCCTCCTGGCTGATCTGCTATCTTCCTGTAGGGGGTCACTAGCCAGGCAACAGGAAAAATCAGAGCAGAATGCCTGCCGTCCAACGGGACCGCATGCTGCAGAAATCCTCCGGGAAAAACCGATCGTTACAGGACCCCTGGGCATTCCTAGGCACCACCCTAATTAAGTATTTCCTAGAGAGAGCAGTTGATCTCTTTTGTCTGAAACTGATTTCACCGTGCTAAGCTGGCAAGGTATCTGAGGTAATAACTTTACTGTTAAAGCACAATGAAAGTTCCTGTTTTTTCCTTGAGGAATAAAAATACTACAGGGCTTCAGTTCATTTTTGTTATTACAAATAAAGAGGAAGAAGTTTGGCTCTTGTAAACTCGTGCCTTTCCAGAGGGAAAAATAGATTCATTGACATTAGTTGATTTTTGAGCCACTGGCAACGTTACAAAAGACTTTCATTTCAAAACAGTTGGAGAGGAAGATCTTCTGTTATTAAGTCATGTTAGAAACTTCAGTTTCTGAGCTCTGACATGTATTCTTTAAGAAAAATCCACTTGTATATTCACACTAAAAGTACACTGTACTGATTAATTACATTACAATAGAGAAAGTAGAATTTAAGTGAAAGAGGAACTCAAACTTCTTTTCTCTTTTTCTTTCTTTTTTTTTTTTTTTTGAGAAAGAGTCTCACTCTGTTGCCCAGGCTGGAGTGCAGTGGTGCGATCTTGGCTCACTGCAACCTCTACCTCCTGGGTTAAAGCAACTCTCCTGCCTCAGCCTCCTGAATAGCTGGGACTACAGGCATATGCCACCAGGCCCAGCTAATTTTTGTATTTTTAGTAGAGATGGGGTTTCACCATGTTGGTCAGGCTGGTCTCAAACTCCTGACCTTGTGATCTGCCCTCCTCAGCCTCCCAATGTGCTGTGATTACAAGCATGAGCCCCCTCGTCTGGCCCACAAACTTTTTTATTGTATCAGGATTTGTTGACATCTCAGCATTTTGTAGCACATTATCAATTACATTAGTTCCCCTTGGTATTAGACCCGGGCAAGTCACTTCCCCTTTTTAATTAAGCTCTAACGTCCTTATCTGTGCATTTTAGGGGGTGCACTCACAATATTTTTTTACTTCATCCCCTGGCTCTGTAAGTCCTACGAGTCACTTCCTTTAACAACGAGAACTTCATACTTCAGAGGTTAACAATATGTTAACTCACCAGCCCAAGTGTACGTGGGGAAAAAGCCCCCTGCCTGTGTTGTGGTCTGTTTAGCTCCCAGTATACAAGGCTTATTATTCCCAGTGAGTGCTGAATATCTCGTACCCTCACCTGGCAGACCACATCTACCTACGAAAGATCTTTACTGTTCACTAAGCTCTGACAGAAAGACAGCCTTTCCCTTATCTATGAATAGTTAACAAACAACAGTATCAGTATCTGTGACTTTCTCATCAATAGTAATCAGCTATTTTTATTTGCTGTCACTTGTACTTAGAACTATATTTTTATTAAACCCATCCCTAGGTCTCTTTACTGCATATTTGAATAAAGTAGCACGTGTCATCTTTTGAGAAGGCGTTCATACATTTCACCAGACAACCAAAGGGTTCTGTGGCACAGAAAAGCTGGAACACATGCTGGGAAGGACCCCATCAGTAGAAGAGGTAGTATGATTCTGCCAAGATTCTGGACCTGGTCTCCACTGAGTGAGCCAGTTGAAGATGATGTACGCATCCGGACAGTGCACTGTCGGGGAAAGCATACAGACCTTGAAGAGGAGACCTGTGTTAGAACCCTGGTTCTGTGCGACCTAGCAGATGCTTAAATTCTCTAAGCCTCGGTCTCCCTACTCGTGAAATGGAGATCATTTTTTCTCTGTTGGATTTTTAGGATTAAGTTATAATTGTATGTTTAGGAGTATTAGTCCCCTTTCTTTTGTAGGCATGTTCCATTAAATGGAAATCAGCTCTTCCACCATCCATTCGTGTAACTGTGCTATGCCCTCATTGTGGAGCAGTAGCAGAGGGTGCAATTTTAAAAATTTCCTGTTTGAAAAAGCACCTCCTTATATTAATATAATGATATTATAATGATTAACACCTTCTGTTAATAAGGTATTCATATCACATAGAAGGTTTTACCTTTTTTTAATACTATTTCTTGTGGAGACAGGGTCTCACTATTGTGGCAGGCTGGCCTTGCAGTGATCCTCTGGCCTTGGCCTCCCAAAGTGCTAGCTAGGATCACTGGTGTGAGCCACTGCACCCCGCCTGCATGTGTGGTTTTAAAAATCAGTTGTCTTCCAGGCAGATAGGGTGGTTCAAAAGAAACGAACAGAGAGGGGGCGTACCACAGTACTTTTGTCTACCAGCTTTGTATTAGACACCATGCTGTGCACTGGGACTAGAGACTGATGTAACCGGGTACCTGACCTAAAGAAGCTAACAGTGTATGAGAGGGAGAGACCCATGAACAAACTGGATGTGGTAGGAGAAGGAGCGGTCAGAGCACACGAGGAAGACAGTGGTGCTTCTGGACGGACAATGTGCTGTGTGCAGCCGGCGTGGACAGCGTCCTTCTCAGATCCCCTCAATTTACAAACATGGAAGGAACAGTTCTTTGTCGATTCCTGAATGGAAATTATCAGAACCAGAGAGTCAAAGGAAGCTCTAGTAGACCTGGAGTTGGCAAACTCTTTCTGTAAAGTGTCAGATGGTGATTATTTTCAGCTCTGCAGGCTATACGGTCACCATCGCCACAACTCAACTCTGATGTTGTACAAAGGAGCTACGGGACAGCATAACAGAACGAGCGTGCTGGGCTCCTGTAAAGCTTTATTCGTGATACTGAAATGTGAATTTCTTGTAATTTTCACATCATGAAATATTCTCTGTGTTTTCTCCAATCATTTAAAAGTTTAAAAACCATTCTTAGCTCATAGACTGTTCGAAGCTGGGTCTGGACTCAGAACTTGCTGGCCTCTGAGTGACAGCCTAGGTGGTCTGCAGGGGTGGGAGGTGCTAGGCAAGGCTGTGCACAATGCCCGTGGTACGGTGACTGTGTGTGTTTGGCAAGGCTGTTGACAGGACACGCAGCGCAGTGACCACCACGTGTGGTCAGCAAGGGCGCCCACAGCAAACACAGTGAAATAACCGAATGTGGTGAGCAAGGCCATTGACACTGTACACAGTGCAGTGACCATGTGTGGTCATCAAGGCTGTCAACAGTGCACGCAGTGTGGTGACCGTGTGTGGTCAGCAAGGCTATTGACAGTGCGTGCAGTGGGGTGACCATGTGTGGTCAGCAAGGCCGTCGACAGTGCATGCGGTGGGGTGACCGTGTGTGGTTGGAAAGGCCGTCAGCAGTACATGCAGTGTGGTGACAGTGCGTGATCATCAAGGCCTGTGGTGACAGTGCGTGATCATCAAGGCCATCAATAGTGCATGCGGTGTGGTGACCATGCGTGGTCGTCATGGCCGTCGACGGTGGACGTGGTGCGGTGACCGTGCGTGGTCGTCA